TTGGAATAAATTCATAAAGCGCATACTTGCAAACACCCGTAATATTATCCGTCACAATTCAAGGTTACCAAACATGCAAGGAGCAAATTATTCATTGCCGTACAAAGCATAGTGATGAGGCTGAATTACTGCTGAGAGCAACAGCAGGAGTTTGTTTTGGATACTCAGGAGACAAAGGAGGCCGTTCGATGTGAGAGCCTGAGCTCTGGGGTTGTGTATTAGGTTGCTTAGATGAATGTTAGCTCATGACCTGTAGATTGTCTGTCAAGGACCCTCTGCAGTGTTGAATCTGTCCTGTGCATTTAAAAAAGTATAATTATACCTCCAACATCAAATAATGGACATTTTATTTACTTTAAAGACTCTGTACAGTACAGTTGTCAAGAACGTCCTGAGAGCTCAAACTATCTGTTAAATCTGGACTCAGTACTGACAATTGTCAATAAGGTTTCCATTGTGATAGGAGGGGGAAGACAATAAAAAAATTAATGCCTGCTGTTTCCATGGAGCTTTCAGATGCAGTCTTCCAGTTTGCGCAGTGGCAGTCAGGAAAAAAAAGGCCCGGAACTCGGGGAATTGGCTCTCACTGTGCAATATGTGCAGTCAAATTACCAAAATTTCAGAAAGGCCAAAACTGAATCGACTGTTAAAGTCAACACTAATGACTATAACCTTGGATTTAAGGATGGCTGTTGTTCAATGGTAGAGTCGGTCGTCTCACAAATGGAAGGTCGAGGTTCAATCCCCAGCTCTTGCAGCCACAAGTCCAGTGTCCTTAGGCAAGACACTTAACCCTGAATTGCTCCTGCTGCTTCGTCTGCTTTGTATGAATGATGATCACTACTCAGCAGCCTCTACCATCAGTGTGTGAATGTGTAGGTGTGACCTGCGGTGTAAAAGCGATTTGAGTAGTCAGAAGGATAGAAAAGCGCTATACAAGCTCAAGTCCATTTACCATTAACCATTCTTAAGGCCATATCCAACATCTTCAACAGAGATGCATTATCCATACACACAGAGATCAATCCCAAAGTAGACATACCAATCATTTTTCTTTAAATTGAGAGTAGCCTCAGAAGACGATGAAGCCACATTTTGGACTTTCTCACAAACGTAAAACTTTTATTGCCATAAGTCATATCAAATACAGCTTCGACATATATATATACAATAACTTAGTCCTTTAAATCTGAAATCAAAAATTGCTCCTCAGTGCCAAGCAGTGATTTGAAGAAAGAAAACATTATCAAAAGCCAAACCGTGATTGGCTGGAGTTAAAAAAAAGTCTGATTTCAGGATAATTACTGAGCTGTTTTTCTGATCAGTAATCTCTCTGCAATCAGATAACTAGTCTCAACATATTTGTATCACTTTTAGACTTTAGTTTGAAGTTCCTTCTTGTTTGTTTTTGCCTTTATCATCAGTTACAACTCTGGTCGTGCTAAAATAATCACACCCAATAATTTCCTAATCAAAGTAAAGTGTTTCCTCTGTGAACATTGTAAAATGTCTAATCACTTAATTTTAGCATCTGGAATCTCTTCTTTGTGTTCTCTGTTCCTGGTGAATTTAACTGATGACAGCTACCATTTTGGAACACATAATCAGCTCTTTGCAAATACAGCCTCGTCAGAAATCAGCAGCTGATACAGTTTTCTGTCTATTGGGACTCTTTTGAAGATTTACTGCCCTCCTTCCCCTCCCCCACCTTGATATACTAATCAAAAGTCATGCCTGTTTGCCTTTAAGAAGGGTCTTCTCTAAACCGTCCCCTCATGACTGCTGCTCTTGTGAGTAACCAATCAACAGTAACTCATACCAGAAAAATATACATACCACCCTCAAGAACTGATTTATTAATAAGCCAATTATTACCGTGTATAACGCTATTCACTAAATGCAGAGCAGTGCTAACCGTCTGCCATGTTCTTAATAGCAAAGAAGGCCATGTTCATTAACTGCCCACTACTTAGAGAAAGAATAATATGCAGATGAACCTGGTCACATAATTAGAGTAATGATTGCAAAATGTTCAGAGCGGTGCGGGCAGATAATCATTGAAGCATCACAAGACTGAGCAGTAAATATGCTCATTTGAATCTGAAGTAAAAAAGAGTCTTTTTCCCCCCTTGTCTTTTTATAATGCTCAAGTTAACGACATCAAAAAAAAAAAAAGCACACGCTAATCTTGCATATATCCATTTCATACACCTCTTTTCATCAGAGAGACACATTAGATCAGACAGCCCTAAACACAGCAGGCATTTATAAAGCCTCGTTTGGCCTAGCAAGTCGTGGAGGAGCATGTTTTTTTATTTGCAGCAGCAGCTTAGGAAAGCAAGCTGCATGTAAACGCATCTTAAAAGCCTGTACGTCCTTGTAAGTCAAATGGTCCTCGTAAGGAAACTGGGCTGTCAAGTGCTAGTCCTCAAAAGGATAGCTAGGTCAGTATACACACACACACACACACACACACACACACACACACACACACACACACACACACACACACACACACACACACACACACACACCTGGGACTGTATGCCTTCGGTATGCATGCTCAAGGCCACTTGTAAGGTGCTGAAAAGATTGATGCTGCCTTCATAAGCTCCATGAAAGTTTCAATTTCTGAGTTGTTAATGCGATGTTTCACACATTGGAGCGCTCTAAGTTGGACATAATATCAAATGCAACCCCATTATTAATCAAAGTGTTTTCACGGTCTTTGATGTTTTGCTTCAGATTCAAGTGGTGCTGCACCACTTTGCATGACAAATACAATAACACAGAAAACATGCATTGCTCTAAATTAAAGCAATAACAGCTGCAAATATATTAAAACTGTCGTATAGCCTCCTCTTTGTTTTTAAGTCAAACGTGTCACTCACTGTGAGTCATTGCTTTGGGAAATGTAAACAATGTTTTTGTAGCATTGCTGTTAATCAACTTATCTGTGGCAGTGGTAACAGGCATTAAAATGTCTAAAGTAAACCTTATTGCTGATTGTCTTGTTTGCTTTTGCAGCTCATGAAGTGGCATCAGTGTTAACGTCAGTCTGTTTCATAACCAGCTAAAAACTCCTCAAGGGAGATATGAATGAATAAGCAGTCTTACATGACTCCTCATACATGTTTTCATGCACTTATGAAATTCCCCCGCTACTCAGTTTTAATCGAAAACTCAAGACTTCCTATTCATATTTCCCCTCTTTTCTGCCCTCAGGAGCTTCTCACATTTCTGACAGCACTTAAAGACTGATAGTCTCCTCCCACTTTGATCCCCCCCCCCCCCCATGGATTTAAACCCACTACCTTCCTATTCCTCTCTAACCTTCAGGCTAAAGCTGCTTCAGTTCCTTTGATCCCCCCTTCTGCTTCCTTTGCTTCTGCCTTCCTGTGAGGCTGATGGACGGGATCATGAGGCCCTGGGTGAGAGACTCTCTGGCGTTTTGACACATCTATTTGACAAGGTGAGAATATCCACCCCCCCACTCACATCCTGCTTCCACTATACCCACACGGCTCACGTCTTGAGTGACAGCCCGGCACAGTGACACGGCTTTTACATATGATGGGAAAAGTGAAGGAAGACAGGAGGACATAATAGCATGAGCTTCTTTAGGGGAGCTGCAGCTGCACAGTGGTGCTGCATGTGTGGGTGTTCTGGGTTCAAGGTGGAGGAACATCTTGTCTTGGAGCCCCACGATTTCCAGCTTAATCTCCCAGTATGCCGGGCTGCTTTGAGCGTGCCTCGTGAGTGACTGAAATCACAGCTGCAGTAAAGGGAAATGGAGTCTGAGATGTAGAGCTGTCAGCATCGAGGCAATAAATCTCACAAATACAAATCCTTCCATCCGTATGTCCTGTTTGCAGCCCCGCATTTGCTCTGCAGGAAGGTTTTTTTTTTTCTCTCCACAGCGGGGGAATTTTTTGCAGATGAGTGCAGCAGAATCAGAAAAAAGTCAGAGTTTGTACCAAAAGATGCATTTTAAATTAGACCAGCAAAAGAAACAGCACAGACATTAGAAATGACTTGCACCAGCTGGCACCATGAAAAGTGTGCAGGTTACATGATTAATAGATTTGGATGGAGAACAGACTTTGTGTGTGTGTGTGTGTGTGCATGCTGGTGGTCTCATCATGATTATAGTGTTTGATATAATCCTGCACACTACATTGTTTATGCAGTTGAATGCTTCTTACACACAAACACGTTCACAAATGCGCGCTCAGACTCACACACACAACGGCTGCAGCTCTGCTCCGCCCACAGCACACACACACACACACACACACACACACAATTCACCTGCAAAGGCAGGTGCACAAATGCGCACGCTGCACGCACGCGTGCGCACGTACAACACTATAGCCACACAGGATGAAATCTGCGCGCACAAACACACAAACACTTTGACACACACTTGTCTGCATTGGCAGTTTTTATCTTTTTTTGGGGGGGGGGGACCAGCAGCTGAGGAAGCAGAAGCTTTTACAGTCAAAATTAAATCTGATCTGGGCAGAATCGCTTATTTCTGTGATCTTATCTGTGTGCTGTTAAAAAGTCCTGTGATTATCCTGCTAGTTTAAACAGAGATTTTGACTCTAGTGTGACCAAGCACTGCCCTGCGTAGCTGAAAAGACATGCAGGCATTTCTGGAGTGGAGAAAATCCGGCGAGTCCCTCCGCTTCATTACTGTCAGTCTCCCATCAGATAATATCAGCAGTCTCTCTGTGTGGTCCTTTAAACACAGTATTCCTACACTGATCCTGTATCGCATCCATCCACATGAACACCGGCTTATTTTACAGGGAAAGAAATATCAGATCGTGCAACTTTGCAGCGAATAAGGACTCTTTAAAAAAAACCCACTAATGAGCATCAGGCTCGGACTGAAAATACAAAACGCCAGCTGCAGAGATCATCCGCAACACAACACATTCATTTTGCACAACTTCAGCAACACTGCATTACAATCCGAGTGTTTTTTAACTTACCAATCAGAGCCAGCTGCAAGAAGTACAGTCCGAGGAAGTCCATTATGGCGAGCGAGATTAATTCAAATGGATGCAATCCGGGCGAGTGATGATGATGATGAGCGAGAATCAAAAACCCCTCTTGTTTGTTGAAATTGGCACCGAGAATTAAGACCCAAAAGAATCGCAGCTATTTCTCAAGTGATGAGTGGCCGCTCACGCTGACGCCGGAGTCCACAGCATTGCATGAAAAAACAGGAGCAGAGCAGAGCATCATATTTTATCAGTCAAACTTTTGCCATGAATGGGGAATAAAATGGAAAACAGCTGCGCCAAATCAAGCCAGCACAAGACCGAAAAAGGGAAGAAAAGCAGTTCGTTCCTTTTAAGTGGAATACAATTTTAAGCGTGTTCAAATATCCCCCAGTCCGTCCTCTGAGCGGCTCGCTTCCTCTCCTCTTCTTCCTCCACCTGCGCACCGTCTGGAAACTGCGGATGAATCACAGGGGCGCGTTGCTTTGCGCACTCCGACCCTGAGAGTCACTCAGCCCCTGTGATCCTCTCTGCTCCCGGGCGGGTCGGCCGGAGATGCCCAGCCCAGCTCGTTTAAAAAAAAAAAAAAAAAAATCCAATCTTGGCCAAAGTTGAAATAGGACAAGTGAAATCGATAGTCTATTTCATACTGCCATAAAATGGAAACAATAAACCCTGCGTAAAATGGTGCATAGTCTGTATGGGTGGGTAGACCACATCCACACTTCTCTCACTGTGAAAGTAGGTTATTCTCCACCAAAAAGAAAAAAGTATCATTGAGTTGGATGGAGTTGAGGATATATTTTAGGGGGCCCTTCAGCAGCGCAGAGCGAGCAGACAGTAAAAAAGGAGAGTCAGGCTGACTCACAGTGTCTGTGCCTTCCTTAATGGTTCAAATGAAGAGACCATCTTGCAGCCAGCACGGGCTGTTTGAGCTACCTGCTGCCTCCTGTGCTCCTGCTGCTCTCCTTTTCAAAACAGAACAAAGACTCGTCTATTTTGATCTGGGTTTTGGGGACACTGGGGCCTGATTGACACTTAATGCAATCATGTGGTACTCTGAGAGGTAGCCTACTTTTTAGCCACCGTAAAATTGTGTTTGCTGTGTACCCTGAATAATTGGATTAAAACTGTAAAAGCACAACTCCATAAGTGATGTGGAATATTTTAAATCCTTCACTCTGACAGCTGTTAGTGTTTTTTGGGGTTTTTTGGTCAAAGCTTGAATTATTTTCAAGCTGTAAACTCAAACTCTGGCTGAGAAATTAATTTTTGAGAACTGTGTCTGTCTGTTGCGAGTTGTTTTGCCTCCTCGAGCTTATTTTTGGACTTTTTTACAGCATCTCGGGGACACTTTCATCCAAAACGTTCTTTGTGCGGTATGTAAAAAAAAAAGGCTGACACTCAGGGAAACGTGGGAAGGATGTGTTTCCAAAGAATAAGCTGCACAACCTTAGACACTTACAAACTTCTGTTCAGCATTTTATTTATGTATTTTTTTTTTTGTAGATGAGAGTGGGCAGTGTGTGCTCCTCTCAGGAGTTGAGACAGTTGGCAGGTTTAGAGGAAAGATTCTGCAGGCGGTGAGATGTTTCGATGAGGATTTGTTCTCCAAGGCTGGCAGCATGTTGCAGCTCAAAAGGAACTCTTGCGGCTTCTCGATCGCCTCTCTCCTCTTTGCTTTCTTAAGTGTTTTTAAACTTTAATTACTTACATCTGCTTTGCATATGTAGAATAAAGCCCACTTTTAATTCCTTAGAACAACAACAAACTGTCAAATCGGCTTCTCCATAATGTACAATGAAGATAAAGTGCAGCTGTAACAATCTGTATCCAGTAAAGCATGTTTAAAGTGGTGGATAGAAATCAATCCTAAAGCTTTTCTTTGTGTGTCATTTCTTTACACGGTCTTCTTGAAATTTGGTTTTAAATAGCAGTAGTATATATTTGATTTCATAGTTGAGAGTCCGATTAATAATTTCCTTAAAGCTTTATATGATTTTTCACACTTAAATATAATATAAATCAAGTATCTCCTCTGAAAATAACTCTGAGTCATGACTGCCTACAATGGGTGTAACACCCGAGTCCCACTGTCTGTGATGTTTTCAGAGTTTTCAGAGTCCTATCTTCACTTTGTTTACATCGCCAGGACGGCCGACTGACTCCTCCCCTCGTGTATAAAAGTTGTTTAATTGAGGGACTAGAGAAAAGAAGAATAACATACTGTACTCACTGCTTAACTGTGTTTCTAGATCACGCTCATTTCAGGTAAATTTACATGCAGTGTGAAGATACCAGCATAATAAAGATCGCTAGCATTAGCATGCTAACACAACAATGCAGCGCAAGTTGTTTTGATTTCATGCTGGTGCTCAAGGGCGACATCTGCTGGATCAAAAAAATCGCATGTAAAGCCTTTAAAATAAGAGTAAAATAACTCTGAATGACCAAAAGAAACTGAAATTAAAAACAGCTCATTTTGCAGAATGAACCATTTCTTAAAGAAAATGGAGGCGTGGCCAATTACAATTTGATTGACAGGTGCCTGGGTCATCTGTACTTCTGTACTGTTAAGTTGGGAACCAGAAGGTCACAGGGTTCAAATCCCAGTACGGACCATGTGTGGAGTTGGAACTGGTCGCTGGATAACATCCTGAGCACTGCCCAAGTGCCCTCGAGCAAGAAACTGAGCAGACAACTTCATGCGTGGACGTCCATGTGCAGCCCCCCCTCTCTCTCTCTCTCTCTGTGTCCTGTTTGTGCTTTCAGGTTTGTGTGTATTATTCCTCACAATCACAGAGTGAAAATTTCAATTTCCCTCAGGAGTAATAGAGAAAATTGTATTTAATAAAAAAAAATCAAAATCATAAAAAGAGAAGATATTTCTCCCGTTCTAGCTTTTTGCACAGGCTCCAAAAAAAAAAGTAAAATGAAGGGGGTGCTGATTGCTTTAGTCCTCCAAGCGGACGGCCCGGGTTTGTATCCGACATGTGGCTCCTTTCCCCGCATGTCATACCCAACTCTCTCTCCGTCTCTGATTTCTGACTCATCCACCTTCTTGTTCTAAATAAAGGAACACAAAGTCCCAAAATAAACCTGAAGTTCAAAATCCATCTTCTCACCCACACAGCTCTTAACAGTGAGACACCATTATATCTTATAGAGCTCATAGTGCTGGAGTTGAACATTACACTCCCAGAATACAGGCATGATGATAGAACTTAAAGTCTCTATGGGAGGTAGAGCCCCACCCCCCCCCCCCCCTCCCCCACACACACACACCTTTGGAATCATTCATTAGTCAGGGTCCAGGAGTCAGACGCCCTCTTAGAGAAGTCCGTTTTGATAAAGTGTATACTTAAGGATAGCTGAGGCCTGCTTTAGAGCAGCCCTTAGTATTGCTGCTATAGGCTTAGACTGAGCTTATGTCTCCGTTATTCATTTCCCAATAATACGTGCTGCTACCTTTTAATCTTCTCTGGTGTTTTTGGTTTTAGGATTGTTGTAGGGTCCTAAGACACTGACTAGACTCTTGTCCTCTGTCGCCCCCCGGTGGTGGAATGAACTTCCAAACTCCATTGGATCTGCAGAGTCCCTCTGCACCTTTAAGAAAAAGCTAAAGACCCAGCTCTTTCATGAATACCTACTAACTTAATGATGATGGTCTCCATATTATTGATGATGATGATGGTAATGACGATGGTTTTTGTTTGATAACGACGACTTATAAGATGGTTTCTATACTGATTAGAGCTCTCAAGAACTGCCCTCAATGTTGTGCTTTGCCTCTGGTCACTTCCTGTCAGCACCTGTGTGTCCAATCAGACTCAAAGCTGATCGTTTGCTCTTACTGACATTGTTCCCTTTTTTCTAGATCCTTGCTTGTGTTGTTCTTCCTCTCTGATGTACGTCGCTTTGGATAAAAGAGTCTGCTAAGAGAATTGTAGAATTGTAGGGGGCTGCATGTTGCCATAGACCGGCATTACTCCCACTGCAAAAGTTATGAATGCAAGTCATACAAATATGAGATACATGTTAAACCATGTGTCTCAAAGGCAGGGTTTGGTCATTTCCTCCAGATCCACTTTTTCAGATTCTGGTGTAAGTTGTCTTTAGGTCCTGACAGAAATTAATAACTCATGTTCTCTGAAAAAGGAACAAAGACAATCCGTCATCTGTATCAGTTGTGAGCTAGTAAAAACTTCAACCACTGCCACTGCTTCCCGTCTGCCACGAGGTACCAATCTGATGAACCAATCAGACGCCTCCCTGTCTCCCTGCTCGCTCTCTACCTCTTGACGCTCTAGCTCACACTTAAAGCTTGTCACCGATGACTTTAGGAGTTTAAACTGTGAGTTTACTGACTGCTGAATGAGACATGAGACGACGTAGTTTCTGCACAATGCAAGAGATGAGCTGAGGTCCACTTCTGGAGGAGCGACGCTCTGTGCATGTCAGTGAGTGGGCGTGGCTTTAGAGGGAGCACAGAGGGGAGGGGGTGCAGACAGCACACTGAGGGAATACTACTTTCAAAATCATGCTAGTTTTTGAAAATGACCAACCCTGACTTTAAGGTCAGTACACTACACAGCATGCTTAAAGTACTGTACCTTCTGTGCACCTCTGAATGAATGATTCTTTCGTAAGACTTTTCTTAGCACACAGTGTTCTTCTGCAGCAGTTTGTCTGACAGTTTGGATTTCACCCTTAACATTTTTATTCATCACCTCCTTTGAACAGAAACGTGACTGTACCAAACATTCAGAATGTCCTTTCTTTCATCCGTCACTTCCTCGTACTGTGTTTGAAATACTGTACTTGTACTTTTCCTGCTGAGCACAGATTTACCTCAAAAAGAAACAAAAGGATGTTGCTGTTCTTTCCAGTGAAACCAGTAGTGGAATAAGGTCAAAGGTTTTTGGATTCATATGCTTGCAGTGATGCAGCAGCAGCAGCAGCAGAAGTGTACTGCCTTGCTTCAGGGCAAACTGGCTGCAGTTGCTGTTGGCAGGCAGAACAATCCTTATCCCGGTCTCTAAAATAGGTTATGAAAATAAAAGATGGCCTTCTTCTTCTTCCTCTTCAAACTTTTCTGAATTACAGAGTGTGCCAAAAAAATACAAAAAAAAGACGGCACATTGATTCCCTTCTCTATCTTTTGAATCGAAACCGACCCCCCGTCTCGCTGTGGATCGAATCTTTACCTCTTCTTCCCTCGTCTCCTTGTCCTTAAAACATTTGTGATGCTGATGTCATGAGCCAGGATGAAGAACTAGGACAAGCTCCTGCTGAGTCGGTTGAGAAAAAGCGTACCATGGGCTGATTAAGAGGTTTTTAATTCATTCAAATGAATGCCAGCTCCAGAGTTGTTGTTTTTTTTCTTTCCCGGTGTGTCTGTGTTAGTCTCGCTCGAACATGTGATGAGAGAAATTAGAGAGAGAGAGAAAGAAACAGAGAAAGAAGTGACTGGAGATGGAGCTGAATCAGAGGATGGAGCAGCCTTCAAGGCCTCGGCACACAAAGCGACATGTGAGCGATGAAGATAC